CCGAGAGAAGTTAGGTATTCTCCTAAGGTTTTTGCCCATCTTTTCTCGGGAGCTCGCCGGAAAGGCGATTTCCAGCAACATGTTGAAGCTCTGCAAGCGATGGCGATTTCAGTTGATATTATATTTGATGTGACATGGGGGAACCTCCTCCAGCCTGCAACCTTTGATCTGTTTGCCAGGGCTATGCGTGAACGTGTACTCACTGGCTTTCTCTCAGGCCCCCCTTGTGAGACTTGGTCCCGTGCAAGGGCGGCAAATACAGAAGGCCCTCGCGTGTTACGTAGCCGGGGCAGGCTGCAGGGATGCACCTTTCTGACTCGTCGAGAAACTGAGCAAGTGTCCATAGGGAATCAGCTGCTTGGTGTGACGCTCAGACTGTTCCTGCTCGCTCTGCTCACTGGTACCTTGGCGATCTTAGAGCATCCGGCCTGCCCGGAGGATGATTTGACGTTGCCGGCTATCTGGCATCTGGATGTCATCCAATGCTTTTTGAGATTTCCTGGATGCGTCAAGCTACGGATCTTTCAAGGACTTTATGGTGGTCTTTCCCCCAAGGCTACTGATTTGCTGTTTGCTAATTGTGGAACTATGTCCAACGCCATTTCTGTTCTGCACGCACTACTGCGATGCCAACGGGAGGTCGTATTGGCCGTGATGTTGACGGGAAATGGCGTACGTCTGCTTTAAAGGAGTATCCCGATGGCCTTTGTAGGGCTTTCGCTACTCTCTTTTTGTCCCGCGACAAAGATTCTGGCCCAGTACAGGAGTTGCCTTCATGGTTTTTGACGGCTGTGAAGAATTTAAAAGCCGACTTCAACGAGGAAGCGACTATGGGGCCAGATTGTTGTCGTGCTGCGCGTTTGGATCCTGCACCCTAATTAGTAATTCACATGAACGGTCACAGGCAATCGCCCTCGGCTGGAAAAAAAAATCTGTTCCATCACTCGTTGAAAATCTCTAGATATGGCCGATATCCATGTGCTTCTCGGAGGAATGATCCAGTCACTCCCTTGCTGCAGCAGTGGACCTACCAGGCCGTTCACAAAGCGCACAGATTGCGCTGAAAAGCTGGTTGCTGTGAAGATTAGGAGCAGAGTGAGTAGGGAGAAGGAGGCTACTACCACCACCTCGGATGCAGAAAGACCCTAGATTTTCAGGGAGATTGTGAGGTGTGCAACTTTGAACGTGCCTGAGTCCCTGAGCATATCGGGTGGGTTGCCTTTCTGCCAAACTTGCTTGGAGGCTATGGTTCACGAGCTATTGGGAATGACCAACAACATGGTTGACCTTAAAAAGGCCTGGTAGAGCACAGTCAGAAATCGCAAGAAAAAGAAGACAGCAGAAAGCCAAGCGGAGAGAAAGACAGGCAAGACAAATAGAGTCAACATAGACTCTGTTGGAAATGTGAGGAGTCTGAAAGCGTAGGAGAATCTTATTATATAGAGTTCAAAAGTCGCCAGGTCTCCAAAGACATCAATCGGGAGCTGGAGACAATCGTGATGTCTCCTTTGCAGGATCCTTTCTTTGATGTGGTTATGTTATGTGACACGTGTCTTGAAAAAGCTTCGTACTGCAATTGTGTTGTAGCTTCATTCGTGAGAATCATGGGGAGTGTCCCATGGTTTGGGTCCATCCCGAAAGACTTGTGGGACCAATGGGGATATTACATGAAGCATTCGGCGATTCGGAAGAATCAAGGCTGTCAAAAGAGTACCAGGATCAGTTCTTCAACGACAACCTCTACTCCAACTTTGGTGATCTTGGACAAAACATTCGCAAGTACGTCCAGGCCTTTGAGGACCAAAATTTGGTAATTACAGAGCTGGCCTTTTAGATTGAATCCAAGGTTGAGAAGTACCAGAACGACACAAAGAACACCGCGCGAATCGAGTCTATCGAGGTCATGCGGAAGATGATGGTGTTTCTTGTTTACGCAACATGTGAGATGAATGTGCCGTTTTCCCGGGTTCGGTCTTTGGCTCAAGGAGATGCAGCGCTTTGTCGACGAGTACCCGGAGTTCAGAAGGCTGTCAGGACCGTTGTCTCAGAACGACGTGGTGCTGCTCCAGCGATATTCCAAGTGAGCTAATTTATCGATACTCATCATCAGAGTAATTAGTAGTATGCACTGAGGATGCATGACTTGACATGTCTCCAGGAAATGTCTCGAAGCATGTCAACGTGGTCAGTGAGCTGTGGTGACCTCAGCTTTTCACTTGGTGTGGCAAACAAGGAAGTAGAATGTTGATGAATGTTGAGGTAAGTAACTCCTAAACCGCCCTTAGAAGAACATGTAGTAGAGGCATTTATGGTCATGTCAATCAATTTGGGACTAAACACATTGGTATCTTGAGGTCAAGGCTTATCGAGGCACATGGATTGCTGGAGGCGCTGTTGCAGCAGCCTGATGCATGTTTGATCCATGTTGTCAATTCATATCATGAACATCCATGAACATATCAAAGATGTTTGTTTAGTCAGTTGAGTTATGCATGGCATGGTAGTTTATGTGCTGCCGTTTTGACTCGAGCACGAATGCTGAGAATGCTTCTCGCATGAAGGTATGGCTTCTTTGTAGCAAGGAGGGCTTTGCAAGCCTTTTGTTTGTCAATACATTCAATAACCAACGTGCTTTACATGGTGGTGGGCCACAACTTCAATGTAGTCAAGGCTTCCGGCTTTCGAGTGGATTCCTTGTTGGTGCAAGCGCCGTCCATGACAATGATCTCAGGACCTGATCGACTCATGCAGAACAACCAAGCAGATCCTGAAGGCCTGGGCGGCCTAGACAGATGTGAAAGAAAGTAGAGTAGGCTGGAGGCCACCGCTATTATTAGGTTGGAGGAGAGGACTGCAGGAGAGCAAACTTTGGCTTGGCCGCTAAAGCCAGTGAGGCGGACTGCAACACGTCAGGTTGGCCTGCCGGAGCCGATTGTGAAACGAGGCGACTTTTTGACGATCCATGTGCAAAGTGGCTTGCTGGCAGGGTGATTGGCACGGAACTTTTCAGGGTTTTGCATAGGTCCACACACTCTGACATTGGTTTGCAGTTAACTCAATTCCAAAGGTGAAAGAGTCGGAGCACTTGAAGGTGTTTTAACAAAGGAGTTGTTCACTTGACTGCGGAAGCTAGTTACTGCATTAGCCCTTTACTGCAAGAACGGTAAGGTGCAAGGGTCCGAAGAACAGAACTGTTTAACAAACGAACTAGCACTTTGCCAAAGCTAAGGAAACCTGTTTTGGGGGATATCATGCGAACAACCACCATGGAAACAACAAAAGGAAAAGTGGAGTCACAGCGTGTGCAAAAGTTTTCATCCGCGCAGGTACAGAAGTTTGCGTCCAAACTTCCATCCAGTCAATTTCCCTAGCTTCGTTGGCGTGACTAGGAGATCGACCGTCACGCCCCCTGCGACTTAAAAGTTGAGAAAAACAGAAACTCTTAGTTACAGAGGTGGACACACACAGAACGCCGATATCGGCGCTCTGGGGGGAACTTACTAATCACCTAAAAAGCCTTAGAACGAAAGGAAAGAAACACAGAAAGGAAAACGCAAAGGAAAGAGAGAAAGATAGGTGTAGTGACAAGGCCCACTAGTTACGAAACCTGCTAGTTACTGACTACTTAGCCGAAGTGAATTAAATGCAGTAGTTAGCGAGCAGGACATACGTCTTAAACCGCCCGGGTATCTAGGAGTAGAAAAGGAGAAACAGAAGGAAAGGTACCGACACACAAGTGTGTCGAGTACCATTTCCTTCTGTTACCCTAGATAGCGGGTGGGATAGAAACACGAATTAGGTTGCAAGGTGGGGGGGTGTGTGTGGAAGTGCAAGTGTGGACAGTAGCTTCACTGGTCTCAATTCCTCACATGGAAATGCAGCACATGGAAAGGCAAGTAGAGATGCAAGTGGAGGTATTTCGTAAGCCCGACGGCATCAAATTCAGTAAATCCAGTAGTGAAACTAAAGCGGTTAAGAAAATCCAAAGAGAGGTGGAGAACGGTGGAGTCAGTTACACGATTTCCGGAATGAAAACAGCGCCTCCTTGCGGAGGATCACACCCAGCACCCAAGTGGGACGACTGAGCGAGTCACACTCTGACATTGGTTTGCAGTTAACTCAATTCCCAGGAAAAATGGCGATGGAACCGAAAGGTGAAAGAGTCGGAGCACTTGAAGGTGTTTTAACAAAGGAGTTGTTCACTTGACTGTGGGGGATATCATGCGAACAACCACCATGGAAACAACAAAAGGAAAAGTGGAGTCACAGCGTGTTTCATCCGCGCAGGTACAGAAGTTTGCGTCCAAACTTCCATCCAGTCGATTTCCCTAGCTTCGTTGGCGTGACTAGGAGATCGACCGTCACGCCCCCTGCGACTTAAAAGTTGAGAAAAACAGAAACTCTTAGTTACAGAGGTGGACACAAACACACACTGGACTTCAGCATTTTAGCATTCAGAACTGAGATATTGAAGTCAGCCGTTTTGCACCCATTTGCTGTGCCTTTTCAGAGGAGTAGTGTCAATGCTAATTCAGCCAAGTTGGACTTGCCGCAACTGGAAGGAAGCTTTGGAGCTCTAAGGACAAGATATATGGGTTGGCTGAATCAAGTGATGTTAAGTGTCAGTGTCAAGTGCCGCATTGCAGTTCGATGTGTTTTTTGCTTCCGTGAGCCTCGAGGAACTCGGAAACCCAATCACATTCCAGGCACAAGTTGCTTGACAGCTTGGCTCTTGACTGGCTTGGATTATTTGCCCGCTTGAGTTCATAAAAGCCAGGTTGGGACCAATGAACTTTTTCGAGGATTGGACTCAGGATGCTTGGGCATGACCTGTCGCAACTTGGACAAAGATGCAACACGAATGCTTTCTAGCACCTGTTTGGAATCGGCGCAAGAAAGAATATCACTAAGAATATCGCCGTATGTGCGTTCCAACCTGGGGCATTCACTTTGTTCAACTGAACGAACTTGATTGCCACGAGGTGAACAGCGGCGCCTACATGTGCCAGCAGCAGAAGCCTTTGCAACAGCGGCTCTTCCGGCCTGGGGTGCCTCCAAGAGATATGGCAAGTCAGCGTTAAAGGATACAATTTGTTGTTTTGATGTCTATTTTGGATTGTTTAATGGATTGAATGCTCCAAAGTGCTTTGCTGCGTATTTTTGTACGATCACATGTCCGATCACAGATGACTGACTAAGCTCGCCATACTGTTCAGTAGCATGGATTGCAGTACATGCAGACACGCAGCCCATCCGGTTTGTTGAGCATGCCAGTGTGCGGTTGCTACGGATTGCTAGGTATCCCTCCAAACTCAGACCTGGACGTGCTTGTCGATTGCCTCCAGATTGTATCGGAATCTTAGATGCGAAGTGATCAAATGCCTTGGTGGCAAGTGGATGGAACAGGCCTGGATTGAAATCTTTCAACCACAGCAGCTGAAGGGAGATACATGCAAGTGGTAGGCAGGCATTCAGACGAAATTCAGGTCATTCATGTGCACCCTCGAAGTCAGTGGCTCGGAATGGCTCGGATCTCAAGTTTGAACCCTGCCAGGCCTCACTTCTGGAGGTGGAGATCGTTTGCGCCTCTGCCATCAGAGGCGATCAAGCTTCGCAGGTGAAGATGGACCCTGCAAAAAGAGGTTCCATCCACTCCACCGGGGCCTCGGGCGGCCTCGGGCGGCCTCCGGCCTCTGGGGGCCGCTTATGAAGCTGCGATAGCTGCGACTCCAACCCGCAGGTCGAAGCTTGGTGCTCTGGAAGGTCGAGAAAAAGATAGAAAAAGCGTTGTGTGAAGCGCTCCTTGGTGTTTTCTATATTGCTCCATGTGATTCCGTTGGAATTCAGAAAAGCCTTTGCTTCACTGTGTGGAAGTGCTCCAAACCAATGACAATTGAATACAATTGACATGGATCGTTGCCTCTATAGGACACTACTTTGTCAGTGTCAAGTCTACAGTCGTCTTTTGGGACCTTCTGACCTTCCGTTGTCAGGCCTCCCAGCTGGAGCAAGACCTGGCTTGCACTGAGAATCGTCAGGTTTGAGCAGCTGTTTAGCGGTATTTCCAATTTTTGCCAACTCGATCCTTGGAAGATGATTGTGGTGTGGAAAGAAGCTTTCGCCAACATATGTCGACTTGGGATCCAAGCTTGGCATATGCTGGAAAGCTGCTTGGTGCTCGCAGTGTTCGCTTCGCCTGTAAACATTGCCAAGTGGCTCTTCAGCTCTTTTCGCACCTGTGAAGCACCAGGAGCATTTTCGAACTTTGGTGGATTTGCTGAAGCTCTCCAAGATCACCACAGTAGACCCACTCTCAGTCAAATTTTGCGTTTTAAACTTGTATATCTCACTGGCTGGTTCTTTCAAGCACGCTTGTTCATAGGACGGTTTCCTCCATCCTTCGTGCGATTCCGCGATTCACTTGCTTGCCGACTTGTTGGTGAGGAAGGGCTCCGGTTGGTTCTCCTTTTCGCCCTCAGGCAAAGAGCGTTTTTTGCACAAACTAAGTGGCTGATAGAGAAAAGATTCTCAACACTGGAACCGGAATTGACTGGAGGTGGCTGTTTGTTTGCCTTGAGTTCTTTTCTTCAAGGGATGAGCGCAGGTATGAACAGGAGTACAACTCAATTGCGCAGCTCAAGGAGGGTCTGCTGGGCCAGCGTTTACATGTGCCAACGTGACCTCCAGTGCTAGGATTTGCATGCAATGGCATTTGAAGTCAAACTGAGCTTGAGAGGATCAGCTGCGAATCAAAAAAGTTGGCGATGACCAAATAGGAGCTTGGCGTGGTGGTGGTTCCATACTAACTAAGTAGCTTAGAGCAGAAAGTGAGACAATGAGCTTCTTATTTGCCTATGGCCTTGCCTCATTAATTGAATAGGCGCCTACTTAATTAAGCAAGGGAGAAGGTTTGCTCCTAGCAATAGGAAGCTCCTACATATGGACGCAAGCGCTCGCACTAATGATTTGGTTTCTAGATTTTTCGGGAAACGTACCTCCCAAATCGTTCGAGGCTTTCTTGGTGCATACTATGGCATGCTATGGTATGCTTTTGTTTAGACAAGTCATGTTCCGAAGGACTCATCGACAAGCTGCTGCGTTACGCTGGATCGCAAGCCCGGCATGCATTACAGACATCGTGGAATTCATTGGCTGATTCAGATTGATCGAAGCCGCGTAATGAGTAATGCAAGTTGACTCAAGTTGGGACATCAACTTGTGCCAGGCAAGTGCGAAGCAGTGATCTTTTCCAGAACAAATCCTTCCTGCAGATTGCCAAAAGCCCAGCTTGGACAGAAGAGCATTGTTCCAACACCTTGCCTGGGGAGCTTTCTCATCAGAACTGATGAGCTTGCTTCTTCAAGAGGTTTTCATAGACGAACTGCGACCAACATAAGAAATCAATGGTGAACAGACATGCTGAAGCACTCGCCACATTGATGTCAATTAAGTGTTGCCGAGACTAAAGTTGTTCTCGCATTGAGGCGAAGAGTACCTTCACGAATAGCTTCAAAGGTGTGGAAAATGTAGCGAGCTGAGCTCATAAAGGACAGCAGTGCTAGAAAGGATTGATGGCTTCATTGATGGATGTGTGTTCTTTGTCAACGAGTATGGGTCTTCAAGGGACAGCAAATGTGCAAAAGGTGTACACTCAGCACAAGACCCACCTCTCAACCGTGGTGGAATCTCTCATGAAAGGCCGCTTAAAGGAGGCACGTTGGGTGTTTTCGAGGACGTTCTTTGTGTAGAATCAGAATGACGAAACAATATCATGCTAGAATCTAGAATGCCACGTAGGTTAATTCTAGAATGAACCGTTGTCAACATATCATGTAAACATGATGATGTTGCAGAGATCACACAAGCAACATATGGGCAAATTGCATGACATCATATGCACGTGTGTGTATATATAAATAGATAACTACATACTTACAGTAGGCCTTTAGTGGTGCGCTCTACCAATGATGCTTGGCATGGGGCTATTCATAAGTTTCATTGTATGACAAGAAACTGTTGTGATTTTGCTAGCTTCAGCTTGAGAGCTATGTCATTGTTGGTAGATAATATCATGATTTAAAAGAACAGATACTATTCCTAGACTTCCAGCAGTTAGCACGTGCAAAGAATTGCTGGCCCACAATGTCAGCGACTGATAGTCCGCAAGCTTCTAAATCCTGATCCAGCAGTGTTCGATCCACTTGCAGACAAGCTATCCCTACATGCAGAGCAAAGTCTCCGGCGTGGCCCTCGGTACACAGTACAACTTGTGGAGGAGACAGTACTGATGGCCACCAACCTAATAGCACTGGCCTCCAACCTAATAGCGATGGCCTCCAACCTAATGTCCACAAATCGGCAAAAGATTGCTTGCATGATCTTGCATGGCTGTTGTCAATGAAGTTTGAGCATTCCAACGGCTGGGCAGGTACTTCGGCCAAAGATCCCCCCCGCCGTGCCATTGTCTTCGTCGTTGGCGGAACCACGTATGAAGAGGCCCCTGAGCACTTGGACGTTTTGCGCATAGAGATCAAGGAGAGACGCCCAGACTTCGTCAATGACACGATTTGATATATTCTTCAGACCGCCACGAATATTTGTGCCTGCGCCACTGGTTCATACACCTTTCGTGTTTGCGACTTTCCCATGATACTTCAACTTGAAGCAAGCCTACAGGGCCTACAGATACTGAAACTCAATAAATGCTCGAGACGGCTTTGGCCTTTGGCAGGCACGGGATATTGCTGAGCTCAACAAGACGGCTGATGGCGCTTTCAGGTTCATCGCCGCGAAGTATCACAAGTACTTCAACATTTTAATTACATAAACTCTTCTGTTCAATGGCCAATTCCCCAAACTTCTCTTGACCCCAACTGTGTACCCAGCATCTATGCACTCAAGTTGCTTTTGCTACAGCCTTTCTTTTCGTGCTAGCCTGCAGGCGCTGGCTCGAAGACCGGGCTAGGGCTTCCCACCAGACAACACAAGTAGAGAAGAAGGATGTGTACAAATTGTAGGCAATTGTTTGCAACCAGATAAAATTGATTAGGCAGATATGTCAACGTTTCGTGTCGTTCAAACATAAGATGCTGTCCCACAGAAATGTACATTCTGCTATGAGAAAGCCAAGGGGTCGTCATTCCTACGAAGCTTTCCATAACAAAACAGATGGGGTGAAGAAGATGTAGCCAGTTCCAGCAACTGCTGTACCCGGCATGGTGCTCGGCCTTGACTTGCAACGGAGACTGGAAGACATGCCAGAGCTGGTATGAGCACAAGGCTTTACATACGAACCGTAGGCATGCTACAGGTGATTGAACATGCTGCAATCGGTTATCTTTGGCAGTGCATCCATTTGCTTCCGGCAGTACATTTGCACAGACCCTACTTGAAGGGTTTCTTGGTTTCATTGCATGTAGATTTCAAGACAGTCTTATGACTTCAACCCTGGATTGTTTTTAGGCCGAAACAACTAAACAACATCCTACTTTGATTCAGATGTTCAAGGATCACCTTGTTTTTCAATGACCGATGTTCTCAAAAGATATCAATAGTCCGATGTTCTCGCTCAAGGCCATGGTGACGTCTTGGCACCCAGACACGTTTATCGCAGCCGCGTGTTCTTCACGTCCTTTGAGACCTGCAAAGTTAGGGGGTAGTTCAGATCTTTTGCCGCTAAGAAGACCATGAGGTTGCCAAGACTGAGTATGTTGGAATGATTTTGTAGCATGAGCATGGTTGTGTTTCCATGGAGATTGACATCGGCTTCAAATCAAAGCTTGAAGGCTTTCTGGAAACCTACTACAGTATAAGCATGGCTCACATGGCTGTTTGATGCTTGACTTTATCCTGTGCAGCCGCTCCTAGTCTTGCCCACTGCCCTGTCGGCTGTTTTTTATTCGCTTGCTGCTTCTCCTTCCGAGGCCCTGGAAAGACACAACACCAGATCCGCCAGATCTGCCGCACAACGAGGCTTGATCCAAGACCCATGATGGGCATTGGACTTTGGTGCAGATGCACCTCTTTTGGACTTTATCACGTCATAAACATAGACGTTCATCCCAGCATGGAATCGGGCAGTCTTCAAGAAGAAACATGTGGCACCTAGCTTGGTGAGACTAGGTGACCTTCGTTGCATCTATAGAATCTCGGTGTCGAGATGACTATCTTCCACATGTTCGGTGGCTTAAGATGAGCAGAGGCAGTGGGAGAAAGACTGGGGTTGCATAGAATAAGAATGTATGTCAAAGGACTGAAGGATATGACTTTGGCCCTTAGTGAGAACTGAGAGCAGGTGATTATATTGGGATATATTTGTAGAATGGTTCCAACAGCGTCAGAAGTGAGAACTTTGGGCAGCTTGCCTGAGCACGCCCAAAGTATTTTGAACTGTTCGTGCGTTTGAAAGCATTGCAGAGAAGACGGGACAATTCGGCCTGGCTTTCTTGTCCGATGTCGCTTTGTCCAACACATACGTGAGCAAGAAGTAAGCAGTTCCTAAGGTGGCTTTGAACTTTACCTGGTTGAACGACGCAGGCCCAATAGCCTTGTGGCTTCAAGAGTCAGCTGAGAACTTGCAATCTTCAGTTCCTGCTACTAGTAACAAAGGGCATTTCTACTAGGGGCAATGGCACTACAAGCAGCTCCTGGCCTACTACAAGTAACTAGAAGCTACTTGTAACTCGAGGCCACCGCTAGATCATTTGTTCT